TTAAAAATAAAATTCAATGATCAGTAACAATAAAACGTAACAAAGTAGGAATGGGTAGAATTTTGTTAGTATGGTAATATATACTTGATTTTCTTTTTCTTTCTTTCTTCTCCTTTTTTTTTTTTTTTTTTTTTTTGAATCTCACTATGTAGACCAGGCTGGCCTGGAACGCATAGAAAACTGCCCGCCTCTGCCTACAGAGTGCTTGGATTAAAGGCATGCACCACCATGTACATCTCTTCTGAAACAATGCAATACCGAAGGCTGCTGAGATGACCATAAATGATCCAAATGCCTTTTAAAAAATGTGGGATAATCACATGGCGTAGCATTACACAGCAGTATAAATGATTCCGCTACAGGTACTTGAAACACATAACCCTCAATGAAGAAGACACATCACTCCAGTTAGCAAAACAAAGCAAAACAAAAATCTCCAAAAGCATGTGAAGCTGAACAATGTTTATGTATATCAAAACCTTGTGAATACAAAAAAGGGGGGAATGATAGTTACCTAACAGAGAGGAAAAGCAATTTAAGTTGGGTGGTGGGTTCAAAAACACTGTCTAACTGTTGCCAAATGTTTCATATATTCTTGTACATGAATCAAAACTGCATAAAAATTTCGTTCAAAAATAGCTCTCAGAACAGAGAGAGAGAGAGAGAGAGAGAGAGAGAGAGAGAGAGAGAGAGAGAGAGAGAGAGAGAGAGAGAGAGGGGGAGGGAGGAAGGGTTTAAGGAAAGGCAGGCAAAGAATCACTTCATAAAAGCTACCCAGAGAACTACATCTTATCAGGTGTCAAATTCTCCTGAAGAGGCTCAGAACTCTAGGGTCATAGTTCTTCCCTACATTCCTCATAGAATCCAGCCTACTTCTTCCTGAACCTCACCTGTGAAATAAAGTTCACGATCCCGTTGGGCGCTGGAGTCCTATCTGCGGGGTGGCAAGGAGGAAGAGTGCAGGGGCGAGGGCGAGGGGGCTGCCCCTTCCTGAGGTCAACACTCCAGCACCTCTGCTTATGGTGTTATCCAAGGGGAGCACAATGGTAAGTGGGACTCTCATGCATGAGCTCACAGAACCCGAACAGTAAGGCCCCAAAATGCTCTCACAGTCTGGGGCCGACCCACAATCCACAGAAGCTGAGGATGTTCAGATACTGGGGGGGGGGGGGAGGGAGAAGGAACCCCTGGACGTCAAAGGCATTCAGCCAGTGCCAAGGGTGGAGATACAAGGAGGGCGCCATGGTGCGGACCAGCCCTGACTGGGCCAGCTGGAGGAAGAGCAAAGACTCTTGCTGGGATATGAGGCTCAGGAGGGACTTGGGCGTACTTTCCGATGGCATTCTTTAGATCCTTTCTCCACCTCCTTTCCTCCTGCCTCAAAGCATAACAATACTACATTCCCAAGCTGCCTCAGAAGACCACAGTTTCAGTGACAAAGGACAACACAATGTGATTTCCCTCCACTTCTATCGCCTCCTTCTCTGACACACCCCCGCAAATGTGCTCTCCGCGAGTCTTCTCCAGGTGACTAGGAGCAGAGCAAGGACAACCAGAGACATAGGTTCTCCTGATGGTCTGGCCTTAACTAGTGATGTGAACTGCAGCAATGGCTGGCCTCTATCCTGTTCCATGGGAAATGTTTTCAAGTAAGGTTCTTAGAGACCCAAAGAAAATCAAGCAGCCGCACGTGGTGACTATAGGGCACGTCCTCAGTTTTATTATATGCTGAGGGCTAGACTTAAAGGTGACAGTGGTTCAGCCTAACCCAAGTCTCAGAGTGCACAGAGGGCCTGGGAAGGTACGGGAAGGCACGATGTCCAAGCGCATCAGGCTCTCCACATCATCTGTACACACCTGCATGGAGCTTACTTAGTATGTGCAGGGCACACAGCCGTGCTAAGCTTAATCCACGGGGCAGGGTACAGGTTTCTGTGCCAGATGCCCACTTGCCAAGGTCAGAACCACTGAGCCACAGAGCAAGGGCCCAGGAGACTGTTTGCTGAGCACAGTTTCTGGGCGCTATCACCCTAACAAAGACTTACTTACCTCATGCCCACTCTCTTGATCCTCTGTGAAAACTGGGGCATTTAGTTCCTTTCTACTGGAGTGGACATATGGGGAGTCAAAACCAGCCCTGGGACCAGTGAGAAAGCTTAGCTGGGAAAGGTAATTGCTGCTAAAGCCTGACAAACTGATTTCAGTCACAGGGTCTCACACAGCGGAGAGAGAAAGCCCACTCTTGCATGCTGTCCTCTGACCTCTACACTCCCCAACTCCAGATATGCAACAAAATTCTTGGGACTGGAGAGATGGTTCAGTGGTTAAGAACACTGGCTGTTCTTCCAGAGGGCCGAGGTTCCCAGAACCAACATTACAGCTGTTCTTATATCTAGTTTCAGAAGATAACACCCTTTTTTAGCCCCTAGTGGGTTTGCAGGGAAAACACACATAAAATAAAAATAAAAAAATTCTTAAAAAAAAAAAACCCTTGAAATTAAAATTTAGATGTTTCAGCTCCTAGAGTTGTAATGTCCCTCCTACCCAGGAGCACACAGCACTAGAAGGGATGAACTCTGGCAAGCATTATGCTCTGAGCCCTAAGAGCAGTAATTGTGAGGACGATGCATCCCGAGCACTCGATGCCTGGGCAAATTTAAAGATAAGCAGGTTTCCAATGTCTAAGGATGGGCCAATCTTGGAGGTTATTGAGTAAAAAGTCAACACGGTCGAGTCAATTACACTATTGACAGATGCTCTTACGAGGAGATTTCGCATCATAATTATATGCAAAGGAACCCAGCAAATACAAGCTGTGTAATGATCGGCTAATAAAAGTAACACTTCATCCATGTCAATAACAGTTTCAGTCTCAAGACAAACAAACATGGCCTTTGCCACTCAGTCGAGGGGGAAAAAAAATCCTTGAAAGACAAATATTTTCCCTTAAGTTGGGAAGTGATTAGAATTACACAGGAAACCCTTCACACCAAGGACAGGCCTGCAGTGAGTGCTAAGTGACTCTTCCAGGCAGACACTGCAGGAGGAGCCTGAGGCGCACGCTGTCCTGTGGACTGGCAGGTGACATTCAGGCTTCTTCCTACTCTTCACTGGACTCTTCATTTCTCAATTGTGGCTGAATTCAGGTTCAAGTGGCAGGTGGCCAAAGTCACAATTTATGACGAATAGAGAGTGGGGTAAGATTTGCCTCCCAGTCACATCTTACTGTGTCATAGGCAGTGTGTAAACGCCTTTGCGGCTGTATGCTCACTCTTCTGAAGTGCCTGCCATTACCCCACAAAAAGGGCAGACAACACAAGCAAATGTCCCCAGGCATACAGAGCACCCCCTAAAACAAATAACAACCCGTGTGTGTGTGTGTGTGTGTGTGTGTGTGTGTGTGTGTGTGCGCACGCGCCATGCTTCCCCACTCTGAATGCATCCTCTCTAGAACTATAACAAAATAAAATTTTTCTTCCCTGAATTAGCTTTGGTCATGGTATGCTATGACAACAACAGAAAAGGAAGTGATACAAGGGGCACCCACGTCCCGTGTGTGTGTGTGTGTGTGTGTGTGTGTGTGTGTGTGTGTGTGTGTGTGCGCGCGCGCGTGCAGTAGGGGGAGAAGATACAGCCGAGGGACTGATCTTTAGCAAGCAAGTAGCTCCCTCACGCCTCCCCTATGTAGAACCTGATTGGTCAGTTGAGAAAGACCTAATGCCACCCCGGGCAAAGCAAGCCACTGAGGAGACAAAAGTGAACCCAGAGAAACCGCTCACAGAGCTACACACCAAAAGGGCCACAGCGGCAGCTCACAGCGGTGGCCACTAATGAGAGAGTGCTCTGAAGGAATCATGTGAATGCAGGGACATCTACAGAAGACGGACACTGCAGGAGTAAGATGCACAAGTCACAGACACATGTGCCTGTGACTGTCAGTGTCAGCCGTCAACCTGACAGAACGCACAACACCTGGGAGAGAGGCATGGGACAAACGTCAATTAGTGGAGGGGAGAGACCCGCTCCCAGTGGGCACCACCGTTCTTTGGGTAGAGGAAGCTGGGCTGTGGAAATGGAAAACGTGAGCTGACATTAGCTTGCAATTCTGACTTGATGTGGCCGGCTGTTCCAAGCCCCTGTTGCTTTGAATTCCCTGCCATGATGGACAACACCTTTAACTAGCAACCTTTTTCCTTTTACTTGCTTTTGTCAAGAGTATTTTATTACAGCAATAGGAAAAAAAAGACACTATTGAACATACTGGAGTCGAGAAGAAAGGCAGGGTGGGTTATGTCAGGTGGGGTGATGCAGAGAGTCATGGAAAGAGCTTCTGGTAGCCCAAGAGCCACATTTTAAGGAACAGGTAAGGTAGTGGTTGACAGATGGGCAAGAGAAATAGGGCGCTGTCATGCTGCATGTGAGCAGCCTAAGTCAGAAGCAGACCCTACCCCGGGGCTGGTGATGGAGGTGAGGGGTTGGGGGGAAGAAACCACCCAAGCAAGAGCCGGTTTAGTCTCCTCTGACCAGACTCTCAGTATCAGGGAAACAACACCCCTGCTATCCAGAGACCCCTTACCAAATCACATTTCACATGCAATTCTTCGTGTTTTACTGCACCCCCACCCCATGGAGACATGGAGTTTCACAGATGAGGGAACTGAGGCAGGTCCAGAGAGACGAGACACCATCCCAGGGTCACAGGTAGGGAAGGGACAGAGGTGGATCTAAAACCCAATCAACAATTGCTCACCCTTGCCTTCTAGGCTGCTTTGCCCTGTTCCCTTTACTTAACCCTAGTTTAGATCCCATCTCAATGGAAGAGTAGGGATAAGCCGATGGCCCACGGAGGAGATGATGGTGTTTGGGTTGGGTTTGCTTCCAGTCCCTTTGGCTTTGTGGGACATCCAAACCAGGTCCTCTCCACCTTCTGAGGCCCCAGGGGTTTGAAGGGTGTTTCCCCCACCCTCAGGGAGGCTCCACCCAGCAAGCTGTCCCCTTACCTTATGGCCGCTGTCATCCCAATGGGAGTGATCGGCAATGGGCGGACGCCAGGAAACAGCCCTCGGCTCAGAACCCTCGCTCCGTTTTGTATCACTCCTGGAGAAACTAGAAAAGCAAAAAGAAAGAGACATCACAGGTGAATTCTATTGGAAAGAAGTTGGCAATCTTGAGAGAAAGAAAAGATGAGGGATCAGAGCACGTGCACACACACACACACACACACACACACACGAAGAGACACAGAAAGATAATGTATAAGCAGAGTCATCAATAGCTTACAAATTATTTGTTAAAAAACAATCAGTCAAACATGAGTTTAAAAATAAAATGGGCCTTCGGACTGGGAAGAAAAGGTTCAGTGGTCAAGAATGCCTGCACTTCGAGCAAGGAGACCACGGAATGGATCCCTAGCAAACAGCAAAGAGCTGGGCATGCCTCTAAACCCAGCACTGGGGAGCTGGGAACTCGCTGGCAACCAGCCTAGGCCCAAACAGTGAACTACTGGTTAGGCAAGAGAGCCCCTTCTATAGGAGGGTGCACGGGCATACCTGCCCAACACATTCTCTCTCTCTCCCTCTACCCCCCCCCCCCACACCCAAGCAGAACAAAACAAAATTTCCTACCCCTATTAGCAAAACGTCTCATCTTTTCCCGGGGACATTAATGTCACCAAGATGGCAGTGGGACTGCAGCCAGCCCACCAATCACATCACTTCATACCTCTCATGTTTGCTATGGTCAAAGGTTGAGACTATCTGTGTATTTGTCCTTCACCAAAAACAAACAACGGACACACAAAATGCAGCTAAAAATCACAGTCAAACCCCTTTTCGAGGGACCGGCCCCTCTACATCCCATGCTCACACTGGAGTCTTTGCCTGGAGGGATGGGCCGACCTCAAGCCCTGGCTTCTGCACTATCATACAGTGGCTGCCGGGGTCTGTCTCTCTTTCCCCAAACCCTCTCTAGCATTCCTAGAGTTCCCTGACCCCTTTGCTTTCTTCTACATACACTGATCCCTGGAGGTGCCTTTAACAACTTTCCACCAGCGACGGTAACGGTAAGACGGTAAGACGGCATGTGGCATGCCGCCCTTCCCCCACACTCCCAAGCATTCACATAAACAGGGAGTCCTGTATAGCTGACCTTTATTCACCCCCTAAACAGTCACTTCAATTGGCACCTGGTAAGCCTTGCGTTCCTGCTGCATCTACAGACACCACCTATGTGTCTGTATGGTGAGCTTCGCAGAGCATGCAGGTTCCTACCTTAATTCTTGTGTGATACCACGGAAATCCCTGGATGTTTATTCTACTCTCTAAAGCCTATTCGAGACCTCTTCTGCTCCCTGCAATCCTGGCACAGTCCCATACTAAAGAGAGATGGATAAATAGTGCCCTTTCAAACAAGCAACAATGAAATACTAGAAAATTACACATTTAAAAATGAAAACCAGTCTAGATGTCAAAATTTAAAACCCATGCTATTTGCAAACAAGAAATACTTTCATGAAACAAATTACTAACACATACATGTTTCATAATTTTTAGGTTTCTAAGAATATGTTTTCAGGACTGAGAATGTTGTTCAGTTGGTAGAATGCTTGCCTACCATACACAAAGCCGTGGGACTGATCCCTGGCACCCTAAAAACCAGTGATGGTGATGCATACCTGTACCCCCAGCACACGGGGTGCAGGCAGGAGGATCAGAAGCCAGTAGTTATCCTTGGCCACGTGGTAACTTGGGAGGGGGTTTTGAAAGTCCTTGATGAATAGCAAACACCCACTTCGGAATAAAATAATCCTTACAAAGTATTCGTATTATTATGCACATGTGTGTGTGCACGATACATGTGTGGGAGTATACATGCCATGACACACGTGGAAGTTGGAGGACAAGTTTGTGGAGCCTGTCCTCTCCTTCCACTTTTTTGTGGGTTCTGGGGAACGAACCCAGGTCGGAACCCAGGTCGCTAAGGTTCACACAGCAAACACCTTTCCTGGCTGAATGCTGAATACAGACGCTTTTATAGACTGTCCATTGCTTGGGTGTTCTGTAACTCTTGCTAATTCTGACACTGCTCTTCTAGGTGGTATGAGGTCCTTGTGAGAAGGTTACAAAAGACAGGATGCATAAGATCGCCGTTCTTGCCTAAGTCAGTAGTACAGCATATCCCGTGTTCAGAAATGTCCCCGGTCTAATGGTAACTGTAACTAACCACGTGAGGAGGCACCGCCCGACCGAGCAGAAACTCTACCCATTCCCAATGAGCAGCCTGACTTCAGAGGACGGGCAAGGTTGTCAGAGGCAGGACATGGGAACTATTCCAATACTCACTGAGCCAGTGCTCTGTGAGGAAGTGGTATCCAAAAGCTTTACTATCTGATTTATACTATCTGATGTCAAGACTTTGTGCAAAAATGCACGAATTAAGGCAGTGTGAGACTGAGCTAAGTATCGCTACTCAAATCACTGTGACAAAATGGGGTCCAGAAAACAAACTCACACTTCAATGTGGTCAACTGAGCTTTGGAAAATGTAGGTGTCAGGACAACGGTGACAAAAACAGAGTATCACAGCACAGAGACCCCCTTGGGATAAACAACCCTTGACCCTTATCTTATACTGCCTGTGAAGATTAATCATAAACAGGTCTATAGACACAAGATCGGGAGATCTCAGATTTGCAGCTAACTGCTACAGTCTAGAGAATGGGCTCTCGTTAGCTGTCTAGAGACTGCGGGAGAGGTTTTCAAGGACTTCTGATGGTACACTCTAGGTCATGTAGCCATTGGATGAGTGTAATCCTGATACTGTGCATGTGTCACTGAGCAGTAAACGGATCTGATACGATGGACCATGTCAGAGCATCAGTTAAAAACCAAAAACCTCCTTGTCGGTAAAAATTACATGAGCAGCTAATTAGCATCTTCCTGTGTACTAGAAAAACTACAGTTAAGTGGGAGAGAGAGAGAAAATGAGGGTATGAAGACATACTAGGGTTAATACTAAGGTGGGGCGGCTATAGCCCCACAGGATAGATACTGACACAAGCTGCCAGTACCTGGCGTACTAGCCGTAGGAAGTGCCACCTACACCGGACCTCAAAGTTGGAAAAGCAGCAAGTATAACTCCCGAGAATATGCACAATGTGAGTCAGGAAATGAAGATGGTCTTCTGTCACAGCAATGAATCAATCCCACGGTGGTGGTTTGAATGAGGGACGCCCTCCAGAGGCACAGGCATTTGAACACTCAGCTCCCAGGTGGTGGTGCCATTTGTGGAGATTAAGAAGGCGTGGCTTTGCTAGAGGAAATACGTCCCTGGGGGTGGGTGCTGAGAGTATACAGCAGTCCCTGGGGGGTGGGTATTGAGAGTATACAGCCTTGCTCTATTTCCAGTCTGTTCGCTGCTTTGTGCTTGGGGCAGAAGATAAGAGCTCTCAGGCTCCTGCCGCCATGTCTCGGTCCCACCAAGACAGACTCATCCCTAGACAGACTCATCCCTCTGGAACCATCAGCCAAAATAAACTTCCTTCAGTTGTCTTTGGTCATGGTGTTTTTATCACAGCAATAGAGAAGCAACTAATTAATACAGGCACACTGGGACTTTACCCAGTGCAGCAATCTGGAGCAGCAAAGTGGCCCGCAAGAAGGTGGCTGGGAACGCCAGGTCTGTGTCCCATCTCTGCCAGCTAATTCCTTTGTCTCTCCAGCAAGCTATGTCAACTCCTGAAGAAAGTCAGGGACCCCTGCCCTCCCGCCCCTGCCACAAGTGATCTTTCGGGGGAAGGTTTACTGGGGTTACAGAGCGCTCGTATTTAGGAAATGCAAGATTGACATCATCAGTGCCAACATGATAGCCTCACAGAAGAATCCTGAGGCACCCCACCTCCCCTCCCCCACTTCAGGTGAGCTGAAAACCCATAAAAGGGAACAAGATGAAAGCCAGACTGAGATAGAAGACCTCGGCTGTCGTCCTGGTGATGGAGTAGCTAGAACAGCAATTGTGGCTCTTGTGACATTTATGTTCCGGGATGCATAATGTCAGCATCATCCCCGCAGCCCTGGGTGGGGAAGTGGGTCAACGGAAGTCTTAGAGCTCTAGAGTGGTCATGAGTCACCTGTCCCATGCGTACGTGCCCAGACCTTCATGCTCTAGGGCACCCCAACAGGAAGGACAAACAGGAAGGAACCAGCCTCCAGCAAGCACCCATTGGAGGCTAGGTGCTGAAGATGCTGCCTTCCTATCCACATCGTGCAGAGGCCAAGTGGGGTTCAGACCATGGCCTCAGATAACAATGGTTATCCCACCCTAGCTCAGCAGATTAAAATAAGGCAAGTTATGAAAACTGCTTAGCCTAGTAACTGGCGATGCGTGCTTATTAATATCTCTGTCATCAGTATCCTTTGACCATCCCACATCAACTCTCCAGAAACTTCTGATGAATTCTCTCTAAGGCATAAGATTTAATGGGGGGAAATTCAAATCTTTTCGGTCCACGATGCCTTTGGTAGCTAGTCCTAACCTTACACTCACCCATTCAAACATCTTCCCAATCAGTGATCTGTATTCACTTCAAAGCAGCAGTGACAGGTGTGTGCGCCTGAGCCTGAGACTGCTTGGGAGTGAAGCTGGCTCGTCCTCTGAACCCCGAGCTCCTTCTCAAGTGAGCTGCTGGATGCGACCTACAATTTCTGCATTTTCCGTTCCTCCTCATCGGTAGCATGCTCCATGCCGAGAGGGTGAAGGTGGATGCGCTCGCTCACTGGCTGCCAAAAGCCAGACAGGACACCTAACTGTGCCTCCATCTCTTCCCATGTCCGTCCCTACCCCCAAGTGTCAGGAAAGTGGTTTCCGGAAACTGTGGCGAAGCCAATATACAATGGCCCCGTGGGAAAATTCGTTGAGAGTCAAAATTCACTCCCTTTCCATTAAACACTAGGCAGGTTTATGTGCCCATTCTCCTGCCCCTGGTCTACAATCAGCAACCCCTTTCTTTCCTCTCACCCTCCACCTCTGAAAACAGCTACACAGGCAAAGACCAACGCAGCTACCGGCCTCACCTCATGCTCTGAGGTGTATTACACCGGGGCCCAGTCAGATACTTAAGAAAATACACATCCGGATCCAACTTCTAACAACTCTGTGTTCCCGCTAGAAGGGGTCCAAGCCTCCGGCAGCATCTTTTCTTGTAGAGCAGGTAAACATCGTTTCTCCCAGCAATCTGGGAGGAGACACAGGTTGCTGTGGCGGGCGCCCCAGGCTTCAGCACCAGGCGCCCCAGCACTGTGTGGCCAACTATGTTCTCTTGGGTCACAGAATGTCTCCAAGATGCCTAAAATCAGCTAGAGTGTAACACTCACCAAAGCAGGGACAACCGTGCGGTGTGGATCAGTGCAGACGCTAGGGCCTTGAGGGAGTGTAAGCCGAAGAGGCTTTTGTGTCTCTGTGTGCATGAGGTGAGCATGCACGTGTGCACAGATTCGTGTGATGGCCCAAGGTTGACACCGCATGTTTTCCTCTGTCAACATCTTAGCCATGTTGGTTGGTCTGTTATGGCCATTGAGGTAGGATTTGCTTGTCCCTGCCTCCCTAGTGCTGGAATTACAGGCACATATTTCTCCCCCCCACCCCCACCCCATACACATCCCCAACCCACACACTTGCGGGACTTAGGCCCTCAAGCTAACTTCCCAGGGTCTAAAGCTCAATTTCATCCTGAAAGGTCCGAGGCATAAAACAAACTATCCCACACACGGTGCTGCCCCTCAGCATGCCACCAGCATCCCTCTCCCTGAGTCTAAAATTAACATCAGTGGTGAGCTCGCCGCTCTGCCGTTGGAGGGCAGCCCTGGCCAACACTATCAGAGGCCATAAGCTTAGCAGCAGGCCATTCCTGTCATCCTTCCTCCCGCCTCAGCCAACCCCATCCACCTGCTTGCTTAGAAGCAGGCTCGGGAAGGGCTGGCATGGCAGGGCTCAGCTTGTGTCCTGTGGTCTGTGGTGGAGCCTGACATGGTTGGCATACACCTCAGTTCCGGGCAGCATTCGCCTTCCCTCTCAGTCCATCCTGCGTTTTGTTTTGTATCCAGGGTTCCGTCTCTGGGAACATTCCAACCAAGGATTATATAAAGCCTCTGGAGATGGGTAATGGTGACCTGGTTTCTCCACAGGAGTGAAAGGTGACTCATGAGGGCTGCCAAGGAAGCTACTAGGCGGGGACTCCGGGGACAGCAGGGGTGGAGTTACTCTACACCGCCACCCTTCAGGGGGAGGCTGGAGTAGGTGGATAGATTCTAGTCTCAGAAGTTAGGAAGGTGTCCGAGCAGCCATGCTCTCTGCTGACTGTTCTGGAAGTGCCATTTTGAGCACATGTGACACGATGACCCTTCTTGCAGAGCGTATCCCACACATGGGTGATGCCACAGGGACCAACTGTGAGGACCCCAAGCTTTTATCAGCTGACCTCACTACCTCATTCAAACTGAAGCAGATGACTGAGACAAGAGGTGGTAAGTAGGTCTTCGGGGACGCTAGTAAAACCACTGTGCAGTGTACAGGCCTCCCACTACTGTCTCTATTCCATAACACGCACGATTTCAGAGCCTGGGTAGGAGCCGGTCTGCCAGCTCTGGGCTAGCCCTCGGATGCCAAACAAGGAAGAGGAGAGAAAGAGATCTAAGGGGCTGCCACACGGTGACCTGAAGTGCACTGGCTACAAAGGGTAATGATGAAGTGGGGGGCACCTTTCTAGCAACCAGGCCAGCCTGTGATTACCAGGAGTGAGCGGTGCCAGGAGATGAAGTGGGTAGCTTGCCACTCACGAGGGGCAGCCCGGGGTGAAGCATGAAGCTATAAATAACAAGGCAAAAGGAGGCTCTAGAAACAGAGCCTGGCCACAGCAACCAGCCCCAGGGGAGGGAACAGGCAGGAAACACATGGAGCTCTCAGAAGCCACGCTGCCCAGCTCCTGTCCACGGGAGAAGGTCTACGTGCACCCACGCTGGGACACACAACTGAGAACACCAGTATGCATGCTGCCCACTCTCCATCATGGAAGCTGCTTGTTGCCTTTATACATTTACTGAAGCTCCATACCTAGGCCTAGGACAATGCTATCGGACAGATAACGGCAGCTTCATCGTCCTGGCTCTGTAAGGATTCTCCCTTGAGGAGGCAAGGCATTGCCTCAAATCTCAAGGCAAGAAACAAGCAGTGTAAAGGAAAATAAGGATACAGTTGGAGTGGGCAAGAAGGAGCTGGCAGGAACAGTGGTGGACAGCTGGACAGACATCCCTCTCATTGTGTCCATTAGGAGATGGTAGATTTGGCAAATCCCTAACTATGGCAATGCTCCAATCTTTAGGGGCTCTGCAGCCTGCCCATCAACCATGCTACACTCGACCTTCAGACTAAGACCAGAGGTCAGATGGGAGGAGACTACGAAGCCAGTATCCCCATCCTCTCCTTGTTCTCACGTGCATTTGCTGCCCCTGCCTGTATCTCCTTCCATGACCTTCAATGACATCCTGGCTGGTGCCTGCCAGGTCCCTGGAGATCCTTCTTGGCCTGGACCGTCATGAAGGCTGTGGCTAGATTTCTCTCAAAATGTTAAAAGCTTTGAAAGAGGAAAAAGAAAATGGAAAAAAAAAAAAAAAAAAAAAAAAAGGCCTCTAAAATTATCCTGCAGAGCTGGGGAATGTAGCTCAGTCTGAAGTCCTTATTTCAATCTCATCTGGCTACACAGCAAGTTTGGAGCCAGCCTGGGTCACATGGAGCTCCATCAAAACGAACAAACAAACAAACAAACAAATAAAAATAAGATAAAAAAAATCTATACCTCTAACCCATGATCACTTTTAAAACCCAATCCAGCACTTTGACATAAATAGAACTGTGGATATTCCAGAGAGAGAACTACAGTTGCAGAGGGTCATTGGCCGAGCAAATGTTAAAAACAATCCTGCTAGCAATTCAGGAGAACCTGGCCTATATGGTCAAGAGACCAGGAATCAGAGACTTCCAGGTAAGGCACGAAGACTTGTGAGTGCTCGATCCACACACCCAGACTCCCCATTCTCCTTCTCAACCTAGGGACCAGCTCATCAGAAGTATATACACATAAGTTGATAAACATAGCGCAAAGTGGCTGGAAGCTGAGGAAGGGGCTTGACTCACAGACAGCTCTGATGAGATCACAGCTCCACCAAGATGGGACCTGATCATAAGGGCCTTTCCGGCCGGTGACCTCATTACAACCGGAGTCTGCAACTTTTCCTGAAATGCCATCTAAGAATGGATTTTAAGTATAGAAGTCTCTGAAACATAAAGCATCACTTAGAAGCCATATTCCTGGCTAACCAGGTTAACTGCTAGTTGCAGAACTATGGCTGTGCATCTGCTTAGCAGTGGAGTGGGCTGGCCAGAGGTGTGGGCAGCATCATAATCCAAATGCCAGGAAATGAGGTTAGCCAAGGGGAATGAGAGTTCTGCAGTTAGGGCAGGTAAGGGCAGCCCAGGAAGAGGGCCAGGTTGTCTGAGACTGCTTGATGGTATCTCTTGGATCTTTTAAACTACATACAAAGAAGAAAAGATGGTGTTAAATTTCCCACGCTATCAGGAAGGGTATGGCCAGGGTCCGAAATTCGTATCAGTCCACCATGCATGGTGGATCTAGGGACTGGTGTTTTCTTGTGGGAAATGTCTGTCACCAAAGTGGAAGAATTCTCCTCACTTAGAAGGCCACGGTATCTTCAGGACGCCAGAGCCCCAAACCAACAGGAAACCTAGTCACAGGCACAAGGTGGGTAGGTGGGTACTAGCACTTAGTAGTGTCACAGGGTGATCTGCCATGTCAAGTTACTTTCTGCACGTGTGACACACATGCCCTGTCAGTAAGACATGCGGATCCTAGTGTCTCGCCTCTCTCCTTAGTGTGGCTCTGGCTGGATGCGGGATGTAGGCAGAGGCACTGGCCTCAAGTTGTGAGGAGAGCACAGACATCTTCATTTTAGGTCAGCTATAAAGATGAGAAAAGGGAAGACGCCCACCAGGTAGTGGGCCAGAGTCCAGCTGAAGCAAAGGAAAGAGCTGTCAACTAATATGACATTGCTCAGTGAACCCTACGCCAGCCACACCAGCCTAGCTCTTCTCCCTGTGGCCACCTAGCACACAGGATAGAGATGATACAATGTAGTATTGTGGCTCCATTTTAAGGCTAAGTCACACGGGGGTAGGCCAAACTTTCCAGAACGCACCCTAATTTATTATCGAGGATCTAGACGGAAAATAACATCTACGGTTCTGTACTGCTTAGCTCCATTATGGGTAAGCTGGCCCAGGGAATGATGCCCACAGGAGAAAGACATCCAGCAGAAGTTGCTACAGGCTCTGCTTCTCATCTCCTCTTTCCTAACGATACCTTAAGAGCTCGCTTATCTTCTGTACTGGCTCACACGTATGCATGGCTGCCTGTGGACATGCATATGCACGTTAGCCACACACTCAGTTTTGAGAGTGATGCTCCAAGTGCAGGACTGTGTTAGCATTGGTTCTTCCTATGGCCTGGGACATAAATGAGAAGGTGAGGTTCACAAACTATGGTGCTGTACGCTATAGAAATATCTACTCACAACCTGCTTGTATCTCAGGGGGAGAATTCAAAAGCATCATGGCACTGGCGGCATCAATGTCAGGATCTGGAAAAATCAATCAATAAATAACATTATTTACAACGGGGCCGGTGTATGTGTCTTTCCCCCTGCAAGTTACAGCTTATGAATTTGAGAGAGAGAGAGAGAGAGAGAGAGAGAGAGAGAGAGAGAGAGAGAGAGAGAGAGAGAGAAACATCCAGGAACTAGGTAAGGGACCTCGGAGGTGACTTTCATACCATTTGGACTTTAAAGAAAAGTTATTCTAGACTGAGATTCAAGGAGGATGCTAGCATTATTATTATTATTATTATTATTACTAATAAAATCTAGAAGCATGGCTTCTTCTTGCTTTGTTAATGTTGGGATCTGCACTGTGGGTGTCCGATAAGCTGCTGGTCTAGGCGCCTCTCAGCATTCACCCTGGGGTGGAAAAGCAGGGGAGATGGTAACAATAGGAAGGTTAGCCTGGGATTTGTAACTGTTGGAAGGGGGGGGGGGGCTGGCACACCACAGCATCATCAGGAAGAGAACGCACTGAAGACAACTCAGTCAGATACAAGCAAGACATTTGGTCATTTCCATTTGTCAGCAGAATGGAAATCACATTTTATAAGGCTACGTGTGCTGGAGATGATGAAGGCATTAAAAAAAAAAAAAGCACATAAAAATACAGAAAAGAATTAAGAAAGTTCTGATGTCGAAGGCACAATGCTTACGTTCTTGTTTAATATTGCTTTTAATCTGCTCCCTCCCCAAATACTCATCACTTTATTGCTATAATTCTTAATAGGTTTCTGAATCCTTACCAATCCACCGGTTGACAGATGGCAGGTTATATAGAGACAGAGAAAAATATTATCCCTTTATAACTAAATTCATTTCCCTCTGAGAAACAGCAGCACCGCTGCTATGGAAATGAAGGTCACCATGGCAACGGTAAACAACCCCCAAGAATGGTCACTGAATAGGCTGAAAAGAACATCTGCCCCAGCCCAGCGTCCCAGCTGCCCTGGGGCGAAATTCGCTAATAGTGCAGTGATGCCTAGTGACAGAAGCTGCCGCCTGTCCCCTGTCCAAATAAATGAAGTGTGCAATTGAAGTCGACATCAAAATGCCTGCCCTTGCCGATTACTGCCTCCGTGTCCGCTAAGCCCAGTAACTAATGATTGGGGAGAGGGGGCCTCGCGCTTGTCAGTTTTTGTACAAATTACATACCAAAAAATTCAATTTACTACTAATGGCTCCATGGCACTTTATTTTGGGTATTATGCGAGAAAATTACTTTTTAAAAACTGTACAAAAAAGTACATTTTTCATACTTTATTTGTGCAATTTAATTCCAAGGGAGCATCGTGATGCATGCTGAAACCCCACAAGCGATTAATAATATGGATGATGCTGGCTTCGGAAGACAATGCCTCAAGAAAAAGAAAAAGGTAAAGAAACTTTGCCCTTTTCTACTTGCCTGCAGGAGGCCTATTACTTACACACCATAATGGAGTAAAAGTTTATTTTAATAAGCACACTGTACGAGTAACAGGTAAATTAGCTTCTTTGGCAACTCCTGGGGTGACATTGCTCAAACAGTCATTCCCTTCCCATGGACGCATGCTCAGTGAATCGCAGAACAGCTCCAAGGTCCACTCTGCTTACTACTGTCCCAGGAGTGATGTCCTTGGGTACCCAAGGGAAGCAAGAGACAAGCTCTGCAGCAGTCCCTCTTTGGAAAGAACTCTTTGCTTTCAAGGGAGGAGCTCAGATATGTGCTTTTTCTTTTTATGATACAAACCTTCACTTCCATCTTTGTGAAGCAACACGTGGCCTGAGTTGCCCTGGCTACATGGTCCCTATCTCCCCGATGAGGGCCCAGAGGTTAAGAGGGAAGCTCATACATGAAATCAGGAAATGAAAGTCCCATATTCTTCAGAACCACACTCCTTCTCAGGAGGAAGTCTGACAGCCACAGACAGGCTCAGCCTTAGTGAAAGAAGGACAAAAGATGGAGAGAAAGAGCCTGAAAAGCAAAGAGTAGCAACAACACGTGAAATCATGGGGAAACTAAACTTGAGGGTCTACCCAACATCTTCCCATGATGCCCCACCCCAGCCATACTAAGGCAAATCGATGTACCTAAGTATCAAGTACAGGATGCCGGCACACCCCAGCCTCCACTTCCCACTGAGCAGATGTACCACATCTGATGCCTCCACAGATGGAGATGCTGATGTAATCAGAGAACTCATGCTCTCCCCCCACCTCCCAGGAATTCTGGGTGAATGTAACAGGTAGACTCCCCATGATCTAACAGACCACAATGCCTGTAGCCTCAGTCTTCTTTCTGAAAGGACCTGATGCTTCTAAGTCCCGAATGAAGGCCAGGGCATGCGATTCTCGCCCCCAAGCCATCATCCAAACACAGTAACTACACCATGCTATGTGATCACGGACACTGGAATCCATGGTGTTGGTCCTTCTCCAGGTGGCTACCGTTGAGTGCCTCCTCCTTAAATGACTAACTATATGAATAGTTTGTAAGCAACATAATCATGATGGGTTTATACATTTGCACCCAAATTACAATGACCTCAATTAAGATGAACACAACAGAGAAAACCACTTCTTCCACCCCAACCCCAGAGTTCCAGGTATTAGACTGCAGGTACACAGGCATGTGTCCCGAGAAACCAGGAATTTGCTTTCTGCTCTTCAGCGGTGATGTCTGTTGTTGTGCATCCCTTACTGCTAGGGTACTGTTGAGTAGTATTCCACTGAATGGATAAACCGCCATTTGTTTATCTGTTCTCTTATACAGTGACATGTGACTTGTTCCTTGTTTTGTGAACCATAAGAAAAGCTACTATGAATGTTTGCATCTAACTTCTGGGACATGTTTTATTTATCCTTGAGTAATTATTGGTAGAAATGCTTAACACGGGACTGTTAAGCCATTCTTTATAGATATTGAACAAAGAATGAGCTTGAGTTGGCCCACATTTTGTCAGCACTCAAAACTGTTAGCCATTTAGTGTGTAATGGTGTTTCGGCGTGGTTTTAAGTTTGTGTTTTACTAATGACAAATCGTGTTGCGCCTTTCCATGTGTTAAAGGCTCCTTGTGCAACGTCTTTTGGGAAAATTTTTAAGTCTTTTACCCATTTTTAAATTGGGTTGTGCAACTTATTCAGATACATGGCACAATCCTCCGAGTCTTTGGTGATATGTATCCTTCAAAGTTCATAACTTACTCAGTTTTTCAAGTCTTTACTTTTTCTGAGATCTAATTTACTAATATGTTCTTTCACAGCTCAAAGTTGAAATATTTTGCTAAATGGCATCCTTTTTTGTTTTGTTTTTTGCTTTCATTCATTAGTTCATCAAGTATAATATTATCTGGGTCCAATACCCACACTCACAGGTTAATACAAATGGTAGCAACCAACTGCATCTCTTTTTTCATCTGTATGCTCTCTGTCAGAGACCCCGGGCATTGCACAAATTAACAGTATGAATACAATGCAGCCCCAGAGAACCCTTTGCTGGACACGTGTCTATGGAAAAGAATCCCGGGCTCTGCTACAATGCCTGCCACGGATTTCCTGTTCCAGTGTGACAGCCACACATCTTTAGGATCTCTCCAGGAAACTTCAGCTTTCATTCTTATCTAATAATGAATGGAAGGAACGCTCAGGCAGTATAAAACATACAAACCAGGTGGTTATGAATGAGAAATTAATGTCTTCCCCACAGACCCATTCCAAGACTCACATATGTGAAAGTATCTGGAAACTGTCTATGCAAAAGCAAGTATTTATGTATAGTCACAGAGATATACACTCATAGGTTTAGAGCACTGATTCTCAACCTGTGGGTCACAACACCTTTGGGGATTTAATCCCCTTTCACTGGGGATTCACATATCAGATACCCTGCATATCAGATATTTACATTACAATACATAACAGTAGTAAAATTAACAGTTATGAAGTAGCAATGAGATAATCTTATTGTTGGGGGGGAGGGTACCTACAACGAGAAGGTTGAGAACCATTGGTTTACAGTATTTCCCCTTGAGTTGTAGTTTTATGTGTGTGGTTTCAGTCTGAAAATAGTAAGTTGACCCCAACAGATTTTTTTTTTAAATTTATTTTTATTTTATTGGTGTTTTGCCTACATGTATGTATTTGTGAGAGTGTCAGATCCCCAGGAACTGGAATTATAGACAGCTGTGGACTGCCATGTGGGTGATGGGAATTGAACCCAGGTCCTCCACCAGTGCTCCTAACCTCTAAGCCATCCCTCCAGCCCCCCCTCAACAGATTATTTTAATATTTGTTATTGTGTCCATACACTAACCTAACTTATAATATACTTTTTCATAGGCAAGTTCCACTGCAAGTATTGGGTATGTGCACACACACAATGCATGTGTGTGTGAGTTGGAGATAGCTGTAGTTTCAGGCATTCGCTGAGGGTCTTGGAATGAATCTCCTGCTGAAAAGGGGCAACCAAAATACCTGTAAAATCGTTGGCTGCAGCTTAATTTCTTTTCACTTAATAATAGATCTCCGCAGCCTTTTGTTAACATAGGAAGTTTTTGCAACGACTATTTTGTGCAGAGAAAGCCATCTCACTATAATGACACTCCCTTCTCCTTAGCCGATGGCTTTGCAAGAAGGGAGATTGGAGCATCCGAGATGACAATGGAATCTGTCAGGAGCTAGAGCTCCGCCCCACAAATCCTGGGCCCCTGAACATGCTGCCTCTTACAGCCTGACTTCCCATTGCCCTCTTCCAGCATGCCTCCTTGTGCCTTTAACGATGCCTACTTCTACCCGGCCCCTCCTGTCCAACCTCTACTTCTCTGGGGATCAGCCTCACTGGTCCCCTTGGGTGACAGGCTGTCTTAATGAGTGCACTTAGAGCTTCATGGTTTTCCCCTCTGGTTTGCATTCAATAAAAGCAATCACCTGGAGCCCACTTTTTGATGGAAACATCCACTTGGGGTGAGCTGTAAACATTTCCAAGGACAGGGCAGCTATTTCGGGGC